ATAAATTATTAACATACAGAAGTAGAAAAAAATTTTAAGGAAGAAATGATATTGGGACTATGTGGCAAGAAATTAATAAAATAAATCCTAAGGCCCTTTCATTATGGTAAGAAAGAGAACAAGGAAAATAAAAATGGCACCAAGGAAACCATGGTCAAAATGAAGGAAAACAAATTTTACACAAAATTCTTAGAGAACTCAAGAAGACTGCACCAGAAAAAAACTGACAGAATTCATGGAAAATTAGAAACCAAACCAGAAACAAATAGAAATTCAAAACATAATACTAAAATTTAAGACGTAGATAATGTGTTAGAAGGGCAAAGAAGTAAAATCAAATCAAGGGAAGATAGAATTATACAAATGGAAGAAAAATCTCTAAAAAGTAATCTGCCAGGAAAAAAAAACATAAGAGAAAATGTAAGAATCGAGGGAGGGGAGGGGCAGGCAGAACATCATCAATACATGTAGGATTGGAATCCTAGAGCAAGAGGAGTCAAAACCAAACCAAAAAGAAAGAAACAAAATTGTTGAAGATTTGTGGGAAGAAAATCCCCTAAATCTCATGAAAACATTTACACACACCGCAAAGATGTATATGTCAGAAGCACAATGAACCCCATGTCGGTTAGACTCCCAAAGAAGATCACCAAAAAAAATCATAATCAAACTTTCTAAAACCCAAGACAAATAATTCTGAAAGCAACATGAGAAAAATAAACCACCACCTACAATGGTGGAATTGGTACAACAACAAACACCTAGATAAATGGGACAGAATTGAAAACTAAGAAGTAAATCCATCCACCTATGAGCAGAGGATATTTTACAAAGGGCTGAAACTCATTAAAATGATGAGTTAGTCTCTTTAACAAATGGTGCTACCAAAACTGGATATCCACTTACAGATAAATAAAACTAAATCCATCTTTCTCAGCATTTACAAAAATTACTTCGAAATGCATCAAAGGCCTAAATTCAAAGCTTGGATGATGAATGTTACAGTTAAAAACAGGAACGAACGTAGGTGCCCTCCTACATGGTGACAGAGTGGGTACAGGGTGCGCGGCTAACCACAAGATGAGAAGTTTGGAACCACCAGTTGCTCCATGGGGGAAAGATATGGCTTTCTACTCCTATTAAGAGTTGCAATCTCAGAAACCCGCAGAAGCAATGTTATCCTGTTCTTTAACATCACCAAGAGTGATGGTAGTACGTTTTAGGATCAAACGTAGCAGAGAACACAGAGATTGCAGAATGCAAACCAGATGACTGAGAGCTCCTACAATTAGACACTTATGGGCACTTAAATATTTCATCAGAAAAGTCAAAAGAGAACTGCCAGACTAGGAAACATTTTTTAGCAATAACATAAGAGACAAGTACTAATCTCTAAAATGTGTGACTTCAACACTTCTACAAGGGAAAGACAATACAATATAAAATGGACAGAGGCGAGATAGGCAAGATAGGCAATCCCACAGAGACAGCGACAAGACCAATGGTTGGGGGGCGGGGGGGCATGGGAGGGGAGAAGGAGGTGGGAGGTGAACAGTGAGCCAATAATGACAGGGACAGGAGAATTGTAAGGGTTCTAAAATTGATGGTGAGGAGAATGTAGCTTTTCTGGCCCTGTCTGAACAATCAAATAGTATCTGAGAGGTGAACGATGGGTAAACATGATATTAGGGCAGGAGGAAAGAACACAGAAAAAGAGAAAAGAAGAAAAAATACATATATAGAGAGGTATGTGTGAAGGATTACGCCCCAAAAACAATGCTCATTTTTTTATTGTTTTAATGTGAAGGGAATAGTGTAATTTGGAGTTCATTCCACCAGGTCAGACTGTTAATCAAGAGTTCTAATTAGAGGTTCTAAAAAGATTTCATAACAGTGTGCAACAAAAAAAGGCCTGATTTGTGCCAGACAGGGAAATGGTTTTGCCACCACGACAGTGTACCTGCTCACATAGCCATCTCAGTGCCCCAGTTTTGGCAACAAACAACATGCCTCTCTTACTCCATGTGCCTGACTCACCTGACCTCACTCTGTGTAATTTCTTTTTGTTTCCATGAATGAAGAGGAACATGAAAGGACAGTGATTTGAAGATGTAGAAAAGGTGAAGGAAAAAACGAGGGAGGTGCTGTCATCTATCCGATTAGATGAGTTTGAAAAATATTTCCAAGAATGGAATCGCAAATTTGACAAATGTATTAAGTGTAATGGAGAGTACTTTTAAGGTGATAAGTTTGTTTTGTAAAAAAAAAAAAAAATTAAATTAAATATATAGCTTTGGGGGAAACCCATTTTGTGGGGTAGCCCCTCGTATATAGACATATACAAATATGCAAATATATAAATATAGGTGTATTTGTTTATATGTGTAAACATAACAAGGAAGCAGATAGATTTGGGGCCTCTACTTAAATCTTAACTAAGTACAAGAACAGTTTGATCCAATAAGCTGGCATTGTCTACTTCCCGGACAGATCGCTGAAGACAAAATGGGTGCATAAGCATAAGTGGTTGAAAAAAGCTTATGGAGCCAAGCTACTAAAAGATACAGTGTCTATGGCCTTCAAGGCTTGTAGTTAAGCAAGTGGCCATCTAGTAGGGAAGCAGCAAAGCCCACAGTGAAGAAAAACACCAGCATGTGTGATCATGAGGTGTCAACGGGAAGAGATATCAGAAGCTCAAAAACCAGCAGCCAAATTGATGTGAAGGGATGTGAATGTAGTGGACACCCCAAACCCACCTGCAAGATAATTGGACAGTCCCTCTCAGAAGGACACACAGAAGGGATGATAAATCCAGGGGGCTGTATAGCACTGATGAAACACATACCTGTCCTCTAGTTCTTTAATATTTTCTCCCCTTACTACCATAGTTTTTGTTTTACCTCATCAATCTTGTTAGATATGCGTATATTCATTTGAATAATTAAGATGGTTTGAAACATAAAAGCCAAGATAGATATCCCTTCAGAAACAGTAACAGGAGTAATGGTTCCCTGAGAGTCCAGGAAGGGGGGTGGGCGGTGGAGCTGATAGCACTGAGACTGTATAACCCCACTTGAGGGGAGCGAACAGCAGAGTTGTGTGTGAGTGGATATATTGGATTTATGTATATTATTTATATATAAATAATAGGGACATAGGGTGGGGGAGGAAGTGATAAAGGAGAGCTGATATTAAAGAGTTTGAGATGAAAGAACATGTTTTTAAATTAATGTGGTAGCACTTGTACAATACTGTTTGATGTGATTGAACTATGGAATGTTATATCTTTAAGAGCTCCCAATGAAATGATTAATATAAGCCAGAAAATATGGACAGAGGACACAAACGTTTCGCCAGAAAAGATATTTAGAAAGGCAGGTACAATCCCTTTATGTTACCTATGTGTTTACCTTGGCCTGCCTGCCCCCTATTATACGAACTCGTGAGATTACATTACTCAATTTCTCTGCTCAGACTTGGCTCTTGAAGTCATGACTGAGCGAAGTGGGAGTGTGCATGCAGACCCCACCACAGGGCGCCAACGTGGAGCAACTCATGGACAGAGAGGGCTACAGGACTGGCCCAATCAGCCATACTGATCCCCTCCCTAGAAGTATGTGCTACAGAGGACAGCACTATAACTACAGGTTGGGGAGAGGAGCTGGCCTGTCATTCTCACGTGGAAGCAAACCAAGACAGAAAAAGAGTGAGGGACTAGACCCTAGAGCTGCACACCACGCCCTGAGGACGACTTCCCTGCAAGGAGCTGCTAAAGCACAGAGAGGACTGTAAGGCTGACAACGGCTCAAGACATGATATCCCCTCTCTGGAGCATACAGCAACAGAAGACAATACTGGGGACACACAGTGGGGAGTGAGCCTGGTCGGACCCTTCTCTCTCCCCCTTCCTCCTCCTCCCCTCCCTCCCCCCAGCCGACATACAAACAGTAGGGAGATTCAAGACAGGCACAGAACAGATCCACAACGGGAGCCACGCCAAGCCAAAAATAGACTTCAGTTGCTGGAGTCTCAGCGTTAGAGTCAGCATCCACAGGATCCTGCTCCTGTCTCACAGCCGTCATGCAGCTCTGTCGCCAAGCCGGTGCCTGGACTTTCAGGAATTGGCATCATCTACCCAGCTAGCTGCATATTTCTTGGGGACTGCGAGGGATTTCAGCTCATCGTGGGGGATGTCTGAGATTCAGAGGAAGGCAGAATCTACACAGATCCAAAGACGCCCCGAAGTGAGTAATTTCAAGTGAGGCAAGCAATGTTTGTCGCTAGCCTGTAACTGGAGGTTAGAGAGGCACTGCTAAAAGGATGCATAGGTGAACAGTGGCTACTGGGCAGAAGCTCCACACCAGCAGCGGTGCATTTCAGCATGGGTTCCTTTAAAAGGGCTGCCTTGGAGATGAACTTTTGCAAGATTTGGAGGAACTAGGTAGTTGTTGATGGATGACAAATGAAAGACATGTAAAATAGTTTATTGACATTCAATGAGACTTGTAAAATCAAAACATTCACAATGTTAAAAAAGGTAAGGGGAACAATGCTGAAGCCAACACAGAATATTGACTGAATTGTCCTTGATGGAATTTTTAACAAACCTGGTTCGAGATGTCACAAATCTCAGAATAGAAGAGGTATTTAAATGCTTTTACAAACTCTTGTAAACTCTGCAATGCTTCCCTCCGTTTCTGTGCCTGAGGGAGATACAGAGGTAGAAACAGAGAGGCTCAACTGAGGTCAAAGGTCCTGAGTGAACGAGAATTTGCAGAATCACATTATGTGAGGCATGCGCTTATACCCAAAGGGAGTACCTACACTTTGACACTTTGGCCTCAATGGTTCCCCATTAGCTGCTAGGCAACCAGAGGCATCTATGACGTCACAGCTAGCTGGCGCACCCACGGATGGCACAGAATTGTTCCCTGTGCAGACTAGGCAGCATTTGCAAACCAGGCCCAGGAGGCAGGTGCCTAAAGAACAGTAGACTTGAGATGGCCCAGGTTTCTTCTGAAGTTGAACATGTTTCTCCTCAAGATGAAGCAGCCGCCGCGGAAACCTCAATCCGGTCCCTACTCAATGACTGTTCCTCCATTGGGGACTCGGTCTTGAGGGCTCTGGTTGAAGAATACGCTTTTCAGGCTCTGTCTGAAGGACTCCTGAGGAAAAGACTGCGTTACACAGTTTGTGCCCCTGAAGCACATGAAGGTAATGATTTGCTTTCCCTAACGTTTCCCAGAAAACTTTGGAGGATCGTTGAAAGTAACCAATTTGAATCAATTTGGTGGGATGAGACTGGAACATCTATCGTGATTAATGAGGAACTCTTCAAGAAAGAAGTTTTGGAAAGGAAGGCCCCCTTCAATATATTTGAGACACAGAGTATGAAAAGTTTCGTCCGGCAGCTGAATCTCTATGGGTTCAGCAAAACAGGAAAGAATTTTCAACGATCCGCTTCTCTGGCTGACTTCCTGGCAGAAGAAAGGGAAGCCTCTGTTTTCAACAAGTTACAATTCTACTGTAATCCAAATTTCAAACGAGGCTGTCCCCAACTGTTAATGAGAATGAAGAGGAGAGTTGGCACTAAAACTGCTTCTCCCATACCGGCTTCCTTAGTTCAACATTTCAACAAGAAGCCCTCTTGCTCAGGGAAGGGGGTAGGTAACCAGAATACTAGTTCCCAAGCTGAAAGTAGGAGAGAGACTACTGCTTCAACTTCTACAAACATTCATGCACCTCAAATCAAGAAGTCTTCCACCAGCACGGCGATCGCGAATACAGTTGTCCCCATCAGAAATAGTTTTTCTCTTCCACCATTAAGTTTGGTCAGTTTACCAGGACCACATGCTCTCTTAAATCAGCAGACCCCTTCTTATGGACGCTCACCTAGCAGCCACACGCAGGGAAACGGTCACCTTGTCAATCTTGTTACAGCACCAACTTCTCAATACCTCTCTCCCCCACAAAAACCGACGGCAGAACCCTCCACGTTCCCGATTGGCCTCCCTGATTATTCCACCAACGAGGATCCTCCTCAAAAGCTCTTCGTACCCGGAAAGAAATGGATTCTAGTGCCTGTGATGGCAGATACGGCTGCCAGCTTTCTCCCAAGGTTAACTCACAAAACTTCTTCAGCCTAGCAACACCACCCAACTTGAACTTCTACCAAAGGCAGGATAACAGAGATCAACATTTTATCAATAAAAATCCTGTGGTTCTGTTATTGGGACAATAAATGTGCATTCTCCATCAGGTTTGCTTTCTTTATTCTCTAATAGTTAAGGAGTAAAAGGCTTAGGTTACATTTTCCCTCGTCGGCAGGAGATTGTACTGTTTTTAACATACAGCCTTCTTTCCTGGGAGGAACATTTTACATGCTCCTTAGAAAGTAGGACTTACCAAGGGCTCAAAAGAAAGTTAATGTCTAGAAAAGAATGATGGCAACACATGTACAGATATGCTTCATACAATTGATGTATGGGTTGTTATAAGAGTTGTAAAAATCTTTTAATATAAAAGGCCAAGAAACATATGAAGAAATGTTCAGTCATGATCCTTAGCCATTAAATAAATGAAAATCAAGGCAACATGAGCTATATCACTCCAGCATTAATAGCAAAGTTAAAACAATACATACTGTCAAGGTTGTAGGGAGACTGGAACCCTCATACACTGCTGATGGGAATGTAGAGTGGTATAATAGTTGTGCTTCCTTAAAAACTAGAAAGAGAACTGCTTTATGATCCAGCCATTCACTATATCCTGGAGGAATAAGAGTGGGGACATTAACAGATAAATGTGCCTCCGTGTTCACCAGCACCATTAAAACTAGCAAAAAGATGGAAACAACCAGTGTCCATCCATCTATGAATGAATATTATGCCACATATACACAATGAAACACTATACAACATTAAATACTATGCAACATCACTGAAAATGAATCTGTGGAGCACCACATAACATAGATGAACTTGGAGGACCTTATGCTGCGTGAAATGTGTCAATTATAAAGGGAAAAGGTATGAGCATTACCCATACCAAAACATTTTGAGGAAATGAGTTGATTGCTCGAGGCGCTCAGGACCAAAGCCGTAGGGAACAACAAGTTCAACTGGCATAACATAGTCCACGATATTCTACAACCTACTTTGATGAGTAGTGACTCTTGTTAGCAGCCATCTGAGATGCCATTATTGGTCTCTCCTCATCTTGAGTAAAGAAAATCAAAGATATATGGTAGCAGCTATTCTGAAGGACTTAAGAGAACTGTCAGATCTAGTCTCCACAATCCTGAGAACTGAAGAACTAGGGGGTACCTGGCTACCATGGCTGATGGCTCTGAAAGGGATCAAAACAGGAAGTCCTGGTAGTGTGGGGAGAAACACCCTAATAGTAATAAAAAGACCAGGCTTGCAGGCCTGATAGAAACAGGTGGAATCTCCAGGACCATGGCCCTTAGTTACCCTTTACATCATCATTATGGTTCAGCTTTCAGGCAAGCAATAGACAGGCCTATAGGGTGAAGAATGGCAGGGAGGGATATACTACTTAAACCTGCCAGGTAGGATCAAGGGACAGCATGTTTCTAGGGACAGACTAGAAGGGCAAGAGGAGCCAGAAGGGAGGACTGAGTGGAGGACTGGCATACAAGAAGGAAATGGCAGGAGTGTTTTTCAAGATGTGTGTGAACTGTTGTGGTCTTTGAATTCTGCATGTTCATTCAAATCACAATAAAATGGTGTTTCTTAATAAAAATTATACAATGCAACTAACCTTTTAAAAATTACAATTTTCAAAATTCCATGGAATATCAAAGAAATGATCAATTATCTGAAAATGCTATCAAAATACTCTTCCTCCCCCCCACACACACACACATCTTTCTGCTTTTATAAGGTGGCCTTTTCTTCATATACGTCAACCAAAACAAAGTATCATATGAGATATAATTCCAAAGCAGATGTAAGGATCCAGATGTCTCCTATTAGTCCAAATATTTTAAATGTTTTCAAATATGTATGACAATGCCACTTTCCATTTTTAAGAGTATGTTTCCATGAAATGTCTCATTAATGATAATATGTAAGAGGTTTACTATTTTTCATTTAAACAAATAAATATGTCAATTTTCTTAGCGTCAATTTATAATGAAGAATATCAACCGATAGAAATGATATCAAAGGTAGTTGTGGCCCTCAGTCATTTCTAAGGGTGTGTGGGAGAACTAACACCAAAATGTTTGAGTCCTGTCCTCAAATTACTTGTATTCCAAGTCAGCATTGTGACATCATCTCCAGATTTATGACCACTATAGGAAGGATCCCATGCAGGTAAACCGCAGAAGTCTGTAGCTGAACTCTAAAAAAAAATCATAATAATAACCACCAGAGAGTGTCTGCTGTCGACCTTCTTCGATGTTCTCCAACTGGAAATCTACTGATTGGCCTTCCAGTTACCAGCAAAGACATCAAGCCAATCGTAAGAGAAGCATCATTTAATTCTGACATTTGCTACTTTCTATGGTTCTGAGATTTTCTGACACCTTGCCTCTTGTCTCACTATGAAATATGTACAAACTTCAAGCCAAACGAATAAAATCTGCCGCTGGCCAGATGTGGACTTCTAATGTCTCTAAGATCAGACTCTCTCTTAAAAATGTTTACCATAAATGCAAGACCCGCCATCTGTATTCAACTCGGTACCCGAGTGTGACTTCCTTCAACTGTTCCCAAGATGACATTAGCACTGCTGAAGACGTGAATCTGAGCGTCATGCTCCAAGACATAAAAACTGCCCAAATTGAGCTCCTCCAGCAGGTGACTGACATTGTCTCGGCAGCCACAATCATCCAGGAAAAGGGTGATTTTTACCAGAAGCGAGTGGAAGCACTGGAAACCAGAGTGAATGTTGACAAGAACAAACAATGCACAATAATTAACAGCATGTTCTCTATAAAAGAAGACATCGATTCTTTAAAGAAGAAAGTAATGGAGCTGGAAAACCAGAGTTCTTGTTCCAGCATACACTGTTTAGAGGTTTTGGAGGGAGAGCAGTGTAAAAAAATCATTGAATTGCTTCGGAAACGCTCAGAATCAGAAACTCCAAAGAAGCTACCACTCTCTGCAGATTCTAGAACATCTTCCACATCGGGGGCAGCACCCAGTTATCCAGGTCCAAGTGGAAATCTGAAAGAAAAAGTAATTTCTCCCCAAATTAAAACTCTGAAGAAAAGTAACCATTCAAAGGTCCCGAGAAGCTGTCCAAAACTGAAATCTGATGTGTATGTTTATCCAGACTTCAGTACGTGGATCAAACTAACTTTCATCCATGGGGGAAAGTGGAGATTTTTCCTGAGCGCCGCCAAATTGGAGGAATTCATTCAGTGGCTGCTTTCTAGGCCAACTGTGGTCGCCGAGGAGCCACGGCTCGTTACTCAGGGATACCGTATACTCGCCGGGCCCATCGCGAGCCTGACGACTGCCTGTCTCTCGGTTTTCAACTATGTGTACTGTCTCTTCAGAGCCTCGGAAGCGGAAGTAACTCGCCTCTAGGGCTACTTCCTGCAGTGCCTGACGAAATAAAAGCAGCCTGCTTTCCCCACCACTCATGTTTGTGGTGACTCTAAGCTCTTTGTTGGACTAGGTAAGGTGGCTCCCTTTTGGTGACGTTTCTATAGCCCTGCATTAAGTTCAGGCATATCAGTCCATGGGGCTCTGTGATCCACTTCCAGCCAGTGTTTTGATTTCCCCAAGGTCAGAGAGAAATGTGGACGCTATTTGGTAACCGCCCAGTCATTTTTCTATGTACTCTTGCCCTACAGGTCTTGGAAGATATCACTTGTGGTATCAGATAAAAATTTGATAATGACAACATTTTAAATATTATAGAGCAAAAGAGATAACCATTTGTTGAGACTGCTAAAATGGGCTCTATAAAATGAAAATTGTTGAAAAGACCCGTTATGGCAAGGAAAATATCCATTCCCAAAGTGAATTATTCCTTTCAATGTCACCGCCAGATCCCTAAAGCAACTAGATATTGGGAGAAAGGTCAAGCATGCTACTGGGTAATGTTTACAATTTTTGTGAAATGGGACAAATATTACATCCTGTAATTCTGATTCAGAGCAAAGGGGAAATCTAAGGATGTGTTTATAAACTAAATTAAGTCTCAGCTCTATAACCCAATATATCTTATCAAGCTATCGTTTCATATAAACCATGGATATCCAGGGTGTGCTCAATACTACA